TATATATTACAGATGTGATGAATTTTGCATATAGATTTGGAGGTTAGGAAGATTGTGAGATGAGTGCAAGGGGATTGATGGGAAGAGAGGAGACAGACCATTAGAAACTATTCCCCTCCTCTCTCTTCTTGCTATTGCCATTCCTTGATCATAGAATCACAGAATAGTGAAGTTGTAAGGCCATCAGATCCAAACCCCCTGTTCAATGCAGGAATATAAATCAAAGGTTATCTGCTAGGTGGTTGTCTAAATTTCTCTTGAATGCCTCCATTGTTGGAGCACTCACCACGTCTTGAGGTAGTTGGTTCTACTGTCTTACTGCTCTAACAGTTAGGAAGTTTTTTCTGATATTCAACCGAAATCTGGTTTCTGATCACACATGATAGGCTTTTCCCAGGATGGACAATGATCCTTTACCCACTTGCAGGCAGCCAGTTGAAGAGAGGAGGCTACTGAATGTGGCCAGAGATAGAGAGCACCCATCAGGTGCCCTCACTGAACAAAAAGAGAAAGAAGGTACAGGGAGGGCTAAAAAGTATAAGTGGGTCAGTTTATCCTATTCTTCTCAATCCTCTTTCTTGTACCCTTTCTCCTCTTCCTCAATCACCAGCTGCTTGTTTTCCTTGTGTGGTTCCTGTTTAAAGAGAGTTAGACTGATATTCTTTTTCTAGGCCAAAATCTGTTAACAGTTAAAATGTATGTATGTGACTTGCTGCCACCTTTTGTTGAGAAACGTCAGGGATAATATCACCAATCTGGGAGAATCTTTTACCTGATCTATTCTCTCTGTCCTTTTTTAATTGCAGCTGTTGAATGCCCACCAAATAAAGTTTACAAAGGATGTGGTCCTGTTCAAGAAGAAACATGCAAATCTGGGTAATTATTTTCTGATAATCCTATCTCACTACCACTTATCTTCATGAACTGATATGAATGAGGTCTTTAGAACTTTTGCTTAGTGTTATGTTATGTCTAGGGGTATTGAATATTCTGAAATGTTCTTGTCCTTCATGAAAAATGTCTCAGCTCATCAAAAATTCTGTCATAAAACTTTTCAAATTGTGTACTGTACCTGCTATGTGAGAGAATTCCTTCTCTGTTTCAACATGTCATTGCTCACATTCTTAAATGGTCTTCAGTCAATATATGCTCATTACAGCACTAACCACAAATAAATATGTGCAGCTCCAAGACCTCCACAATGCAGAACAATACTGTTAGAATACGCACGGCTATCACCAGAGTCAAAACTATTATCCTCTCCATTAGTGCTTCAGAAGTTAGGAGTGAAGCTAGGGTCTGAATTGTTGGGTAGCTCTGATGTGTATATCTGTGCATATTCATATATTCCTTTTTTGAACTTGTTGATTCATGGTACAATTTTTGTCACATTATGTGTGAATAAACCTGATTTTCTGAACTATTCATATTTTGTAGCTTGATACCACTCAACCAAACGCAAAGAAGAGAAGGCTGTTTCTGCCCTGAGGGGACAAAGCTTTATGATGCTGGTTCAGATGTCTGTGTGAAACATTGTGGTATGTTTTGGTTCAAATTCTTCTATTTTCTCAAACACATTCATGTTGTAAATGCAATTCTGTGCTTACTTACCTGGGTAAGGTGGTCAAAGGAAGAACTAAAATAAATTTGATCTGTAGTCCAAAAATATCTGGATGGCCACAGTTGCCTCCTACTGGGCTATAGGAAGTAACAGCTCCAATAATAGTTATTTTTCTCTCTCTACTCACAGGATGTCTTGGGCCAGATAATATACCAAGGAAGGTAAGGGGCACCTCTATTTCTGTTTGTAATGATTTCTAATAATTCTTCCAAACGTTTGTTTTTCTTTGGGCAACACAAGGACAAACTCCCCAGAAGTTCATTTTACATTAAGTTTTCAAACATTCAAATACATTCTCATCATAGAACCCATGTCAATAGAGGGATTTTAGAGTTGCTAGGGCTCAACAACAATTGCCTGCCCTTTAATTGTACATTCTCAGCTTTTCATTGGTGAAGGGAAGGAACAGGATTTTTTTGAAACAAAAATTTAAAATCTATAACTGGCAGGCATTGGTAACAAATTTCTAAAAGACATAGGTGCTAATATCAGTGCATTTGTTTTTGAGTGGTGGAGTCAGTTTTGGTTTTTTTTAACCTGCTGGTTGAGGTGGCAATGATGTTGCCATGAGCTTATTGAGGGGGAAAAAGCAAAGGGTGCCCACCAAGAGCAGATGTGTCATCTCTGAGATGACATCTCACTAGCACAAGATGCTGGGGAAGAGACTGTAGCTGCAATTGTTTCTAAAGTGAGACCACTATTCTACTGTCTCTCTACCTACAGAAAGCCCCAGAACCTTACAAAATAGTTTTCATCTCTTCCCTTTTCTGCATGTCCCTGAAATCCTTCTGGCCAAAGATTACATTCAGTAAATATATTGGGTCCTTCTGCTATCTTCTGAGATCCTAGCAACAATTTCAGCATGCATTCAACACAACATTTGTACAGTATTATATTTTATAATGCTTAATGCTCTCTGGGTATATACATATCCTTATGTATGTACTTCTGTTCAATCATAGTTTGGGGAGAGATTTCAGTTTGATTGCCAAGACTGTATTTGCCTGGAAGGAGGCAGTGGCATCATCTGTGAACCCCACCCGTGTCCAGCAATCTCCGACGAAGGACAGTGTGAAGGAGAAGGATACTATGAGATCACAGAAGTCAATCCTGATGACAAATGCTGTTCTAAAACTGTATGTGGTAAGTCCACTTTGGTAGCCTGTTGTGGATGAAACGTCTGCGTGGGAGCAACCCTATGTCTGAGACACGGAACTGTAGAGGTAGAAAGACCAAATGAATAATTGTGCCTGACCTGCTTTGGAAGCAGGAAATCCACAGCTAAAGCATCCGTGAGAGCAAGGCAACCTCTAATGCTACACTATCAAACAACTTTCCATTTAGGAAATCTTCCAGATAGTAAAAATCTCCTCTATTGTTTTTTTGGATCCATTAATTCAGGCCACAGAAAACAAGTTTGCCCCAACTTCCATGCAACATCCCTTCAAGTATTTGGAGATGGCTGTCATATGACCTCACAATCACCACTTCTACAAAACTATATGCAAGTCCCTCTAGTGTGCCTGATTTGTTGCTGTTGTTTAGTTGTTAAGTCGTGTATGACTCTTCGTGACCCCATAGGTCTTGGTGAATTAATATGTGATGGCCATAAGATAGTCATCTAGCACCACAAGTTTGCATCAGCAGCCCTGTTACTACAGTATATAAAAAGCCCATGTCAGTCCAGATAGATAGGTTAAATGGATTTTTGGTCTGACTCAGTTGAAAATGAAAAACAAAAACCAGCCAATGAGAATATCCCAACAAATTAAGAACTTGATATAGAGCTCTGTCTGAGTGCCTGCTTACAAAGTTTTAGAATCTCATGTAAGTGGAGAAGGAATCATATCTTCCCATTGCAAACCCCTGAAAGCATCCTAAAAAACCCAAAGGCTAGGAAATTCTCCAGAGTTTGCTTCTGTGGCTGAAGGGAAGGGGAGAAAGTTACATGATACACACCAACATCTCATGAGGTTTAGTCCAAAGACTTCGAATTAGAGATTGGAACAAAAAAAAATATGATTCTGTGGCTGAAGGGAAGGGGAGAAAGTTGCATGATGCACACCAGCATCTCATGGGGTTTAGTCCAAAGACTTCTAATTAGAGATTGGGACAAAAAAAATGGGCATTCATTTTGGTCCGTTATTCATCAAGGTTAACAGATCAACAAATACGAATATACGAATATTCTTTGACAAATCAACTGATCAATCTGTCAATTCAGCTGCACTTTAAATGGGTATAACACTGGCCCCCAACCACCTAGTAACACCAAGGCCACCTAGAGACACCAAAGTTGCAGGGAAGGTTCCTCAGACACTTGTCTACAATCCTGAAAAGCTTGGTGAACATTGGATCATGGATCCCTGAGTTATATAGTCACAAAGAGAACCCCAGCAGGAAAGCTCCCTCCAGGCACTTAGAGAATCCAGAATGACAATGTAGCTTCCTATGTCTTTCCCCAACATGTCTGCCAACTTTGGTGAAGATTGGATATTGGACAATATCAGACATCCAAGTTATTCCCTCACAAATTGGGTCCCCCAGGAGATTTTACCACATGACACAGAAGCCGATTCTGCCTACCGGCCGCCGATCAACTGATCAGCAGCCAATAAGCATCCACCCACCCCATTCAGCCACCTCAACAGCCTATTCCCACACGTCCTTTGTTTCCCTACCTTAGCCCCCACCCCAGTCCCACCGACACCCCCTTACCTTAATAGCTGCTGCCAAGGTCTCCATCAGGCCTCCACAGCCACGGTGTATAAAAAAGGAGACTGGTTGCCCTTTCTCTACTTCTAATCATAATTTTCCTGAGCTGCAGCTTCATTTAGGGTAGGGAAGCTGCAGCTGCCATTTTTGCAAAGGGCAGCCTGGATTCCCTTAAGACAGGTTAAGGGAATCTATGCTGCCCTTTGCAAAGATGTCAGCTGCAGCTTCTCTACCCTAAATGAAGCTGCAGCCGCCATCTTGGCAAAGGGCAGCCAGTCTCCATTTTTACATGCATGGCTGTGAGGCCAGAAGATCTCAGCAGCAGTGATTAAGGTAAGAGGGTGTCAGTTGGGGTGCGTTGGGTTGGCGTGGGGCCTAGGGTAGGGAAAGGAAGGGGATGGGGTAGGCTGTGGTATTGGGTGATTGTGTGTGGAGGTGGCTGCCTTTCTGCCACTGATTACCTGATCGGCAGCCAGTAGGCAGAATGTTTTGTTTTTGTTTTTTTGTTTTAATACGAAGGACGAATAAAGATGGGTAAATATTCATCCCTTCGTATTCATGGGGGTCTCTGGAACCCCAAAATACGGATCGATGGATATTTAATGAATCAGAAAAATTTGCCAGAAAAACCATTCTGTTTTTATATTCATCCCCATCTCTATTTCTAATCATAATTTTCCTGAAAATGAGTAAGATTCCAAAATTTTATTATTTGCAAAAGAAATACTTGTTTTATTGTATAATAGTGTAGGGTGAAAACAATTAGAGGACTTTTCTAGCATCATCTCGTTTTTCCTTTTTGATCCACAGTATGCAATGCCAGCGACTGCACAGCCAAGCCTCCTAATTGTGAACCAGGGTATGAGCCTGTTGCTGAGACTCCCGAAGGCCGTTGTTGTCCTATTTATCGATGTAGTAAGTTTATTTTGATTGATTTTGTAAAAATCTGTGTGATACCTGGTAAGATGTAACTTAACACTGCAGTTAGAATTCTATTTGGGGGAAAATGTGTGTGTAACGGCAATTGTGCATACGTTTTCTGCTGGGTCCTCATTGTACAACTGCCCATGTGACTGGTTGTGCAACCATTCTCACAACCTGCACAATATTAGATGGGCAGGGAAGAGTCTGTCAGAGGGATTGAATGCTTACACAGTTGTCTTCTACTCTAAATTCCCTAAGTAGGATTCTGGCTGCAATCTTAAACTTATGCTTAAGGCCATCTGTTGTGGGTGGCATTTATTTCCAGGTCACAATGCTTAGATTTCTGTATATTTACTCTTCAGCAGTGAAATATAACAGACAGTATCACTAATGAGCATAGGCATTAGACTACTTGCCACTGTGAGAAGCTAATGGTGCTAATCTGTTACTAAAGAATCTTTTTAAGACTTAAAGAATTAGAATTACTTTCTCCCCCCCCACACACACTTTTTTTCAAAAGCCAAGAGTTGGTTGATTAGATCTGAGAAAGTTTTTTAAAGGAAGGGAATGCATCAAGGATCAATTAAAGGTCAATCATAGCCATATAAGTTAATTCCAGGGTTAAACTAGAGGATATACTTCTTTCTTTTTAAAGAAAAGTTGTTCCTTCTAGTGGTCAGAAGACATTTATCATTTTTCTCAACTACGTACCTTGCATTTAATTGTGCTTTGTTTTATGATTAGTCATTGGAGGGAAAATATTGGCTTACTTTGCAAGTCTGGTTACTAAGGCAAGTATCTCAAGGGAAATCTAGTAATGAAAGGCAAAGCAGATTGACTTAAGGAGATATTCATTTGCTATAACATCTCACCTGACCCTATGAATAAATTGGAGGAATTGTTTCTTTTTTGGAAAAAGTATGGACAATATATTTATTTAGTGTTTGGGATATAGAAAATCTTTTAACATATTAGTGCATGTAAATATGGAACATTTTTCCTCATATGGCTATTTCTTCTTGTAAACAACCACCACTACATTTATTACTGTTACTTTCAAAAAAGAATTATCTCCTGGAGAGTTGACAAATTATCATCTGGGACATTTATGTCATGTTTTCAGATTGTTCCTGCCCTCTACTGTTTTCATTTTTCTTAGCTGAGCTTGACCAGAACTTAGAAATTTAGGGCATGTATTACTGTGTTTTAAGAGAGTAGAGTATTCATTTGTGGCACTTTATATCCTTCCATCCCAATAGAGACACTTGTATTTGGTTTGGTGTGAAGGAGATTATATTGGCTGGCAATGAAGCATTTTTATGGCAGTATTGCTACACATTAGGCCTGTGGTACAGTAACTAAATGCATTTGCGTTTAGAGAGATTCCTATTTTATGGAAACTGATTATAATTCACCTCTCAGTCATCGTATTTGAGGTAGCTTGCGTTGTAATTGAAAGCCAAAAACAAATTGAACATCAAATGATGCAACAACATGCAAAATAAAGTGAGTGTTTGCAGTCACAGCAATGTTACTAATCACCAAACTATTTCCAAGCTCTTAATGAGATTAGTTATTGATTTAATAGTATCCTGCTATAGGAAAATAGATTATGGGGCTATGTTACAGGTTATGATTTCTAAACATCTAACTGCTGTTGTTTTTAGTACAGATCCTTAAAAAAGTTGCCTTCTCTCTTTGTAGAACCCAAGGGAGTTTGTGTGCACAATGGTAATGAATACAAGGTAAGGTTTTCCCTTTATTCCTGAAGGTGACTCTGTGGTATGAAAAGTATTTCGTTCCTACTCTTTTTTCCAAGACAGATTTTGTAGAGTTAATGGCCAGTTTTAGGTGTTTTAGAGCCTCAAAGCGCCTCCATGTTTATTAAATTTTGCAGGAAACATCATTGTCCTATAGCAGCTAACAACACAGAATTAGATGTATCTAGTCAGAAGTAAACCCCATTGAGTTGAATGCCATTGAAAACATAGGAAGCAAGCCCCCTTCAACGTTTTGAGTAAACATAGATAGGAGGACTGGAGCAAAGGCAGTTGTTTAGAGAAACAGGAAACTAGCAAAAGCTGAAAATGAAATGGAATTGCATTTAAGAGTCTCCTAGTAGCCATTCAGATATTACTATATTTTCTAGCAATTTTGTACTAAGTGTTTAAGATCAGGTCTGTTTTACATTGTTCATTCACGGCAGTATTGTCTCTTGCTCCTCTCTTTCAGCCTGGTTCAGATGTCCTAGGAGGCAAGTGCCAGCTGTGTACGTGCACACATGATAAAGACCCCAGTACTCTTCTGAATGCCATCCGTTGTGGCCCAGTCCCATGCAATGTGACATGTGAACAAGTAAGCATCAGTCACTTGAAAATCAAATTAAACAGCAGCTATAAATGTTTGTGGAAGAACAGTGTTCTTAGCTGATGTGTGCCTGATCACATATATTCTGGCCAGAGGTATCTAACTGCTTTGCACATACATGTTGAAGTTCTTATGCCAATGGTGTGTTCATGGAATCTTGTGACTCTGGGTACACATTCTAAAACATGAAATACATACTTTTCAAATAGCTTAGAAGAGACAGACAGAACTGGAAAATAGGAGGCCGATAAGTGATCTAAATGCATGCCAAAATCACACACAGAACTAACCTAGAAGGTCAAACTTTCCTACAAAACTATCCACCAATCTAAGTTGGCTTCAACATGCAAAATGTGGTTTGGCCTTTTTCAGCCAGCATTTATGAAACATCTTAAGTGTTCAATCGGGGTCCAGGTATTCTTATTTTCATTGTACCTCTCTCCTTACTGAAGGTAAGTGTTGCATCTTTAGAGCTTGCCTTCAGTCAATGATACTTTCTGGTTTCCACTAGTAAAATCGTTCAAATGTGACTGACTACAGCAATATACCTCTGATTAGGTGCAGGCATTGGAGCATTTGTGCCATTGACTAGGCTGTGGGAGGATTCTGGGATATGAGCCAAGATCCAGGGTTCTCTGATTGAATGCTTCCATGAGCCATTAAATTGATGAGAGATCTTGGATAGCTTACCGTCCCCCAGCTCTAGCTATGCACTTAAAGAATGTGTATATATAAAAAAAGTATTTGCAAGGAAACATAAATAAATAAGCTTCATGCAGTGCATTGTATATGGTATGCAGTGATCCAGGCATGGCAGGGTGGAAAGAAACTCATTCCTTCTGTAAGCAGAAACCACCATCCACACAAGGAAGATATCAGCAGGTTTGATGACATGAGTGTCCTGCCATTAGGCAGAGTCTCCCTCAGACAGAGATGCTGAGAGGCGGGGAGCAGTGGTGTGGCTCATGGTTCGTTCTGAAGTCTACAATGCAGCTTTTACTGCAGTGGAGAATGCTGACCTGTTTCAGTCCTGAAACAGAGATGCTGAGAGGCGGGGAGCAGTGGTAAGGGATTGGAGGGCACAGCAGTGTGTGGCTCATGGCTCGTTCTGAAGTCTACAATGCAGCTTATATTGCAGTGGAGAATGCTGACATGTTTCCGTACTGAAGGAACAGAACCACATTTGGGTTGAGCCCTGTTTGGGGAAACACCAAAAACTGTAGAGGTATTACAGTAAATAACCAAGGCAGGGAGAGAACTAAGATGGGTGGAGAAAATGAAAAAGAGCTCACTGAAGACAACCAAATGTATTTGGTGGACACAGAGTGCTGACTGACTGATTGGGGGAATGGAACACAATACCCTAGAATACAGTATATTTGGCTGGTGGGAAGCTGAACAGAAGTACTCCATGCTGCAACATTTTGTTGCAGGTTCTGCTTGTTTAACATAATTAGGAACAGTAAGGTGACCTCAGGCTACAAATTGTTGGGCATCACGAAAGGAAAAGTCATTTTTAATTTTCTACTTTGTTATTATTTGCACATTGACTTGGATGCTGATTACTAATTTGGTCCAGCAACAGAATGTCTTGTGCCAGCTCTGATTGTCTCTCCTTGTTCTTAGGGCTATTCTCTTATAGCATATGGTGATGAATGCTGTGGGAGCTGTGTGCAGACAAGCTGCATTGCACGAACAACAGATAACACAATTCTTCTATTGAAAGTAAGTGTGCTGCATTGATTCTTTTGACATTGCTAAGATTTGCTGCTGAAACAATCAGTGTGAAGAAAAATGGGTAGTCTAGGTGTTTCTACATGTATATTTAAAATTCAGCCTTGCCTATGTCCTTGACCCTTTAAGCTCATGATTCCCAAGTCCCCATGTGAAATATATGCTAAGGAGTGTGCCTTTGTTTTAGAAGCACATGAAAAAATGAACTAAATTACACTCTTCCCTAGTATTAGGATTACAAGTATTACAATTGCTTCTGTTGTTGAGGGCATGCTGTTATTCACATTTATCTTCATTTTCCAATCATGATGAACACTTAGTAAAACACATGAAAAGTTTATGCCATCTGGATAGAAGACAGAGAAGCTGCATGCCATACAAGAGAAGGTGGATCAGCACTGAAGTGAAGGATCCAAAGTTGGAAAAAGTTACTTTTTTGGATTATAGTTCTCGGAATCACAATTAAGTTGGCATGTCCACTTAACTATACTAGCTTGTGATTCTGGAAATGGCAATCTAACTTATCCAAACTCTGGTTGGAGGTTGAAATAGGACATCACCCCTTTCTTTACTGTACCTACAGTGGAGACCATTTGTCAAATTCTCTGAAATTTGACAGGTTGATTCTTCAAAGAGGCAAGTAAAAAGCTTGCAGATTCCATCCCACTTAGAAACAGCCACAGAAACTGTAAATTCAATGGAACAGATCAAAATGAGGTAGAATAGAGATCTGATGAAATGAAGCAAGTGCAAGTAAAACAAATGTGAACCAAAACGAATGTGGCTCTAAAACTGAAAACAAAAATGAAACTTCTTTCCTTTAAACAAACTCACTTCTTCCTCTTCTCTAAGCTCTGAGCCAGTACTGAACTTGTCCTCTTTGTTGTACAGCCTGGTGAACAACAGAATGATCCACATGACAACTGCACTGTTTACAGCTGTGTGAGAATCAACAAGCAGCTCATCTCCTCTTCCTCTCTGATCAGCTGCCCACCATTTAATGAGAAAAGATGTCAACCTGTGAGTGAATCTTTAACATGCATAATCAATTTTCTGAAAATTATTTCATTTGATTTAGATATGAACTTGGAGATGAAGCTGGATTTTCCGTAGCAGAGAATGCCTATCATTTAAAAGTGTTGGATCCCTAAAGATAGGAAAAAATGCAGCATTATTTGCATGAAGGATCATTTCACAGTCACATAGACTGGGGTTGGTGAACCTTTGGTCCTCTAGATCAGTGGTCCTCAACGTTGGGCCTCCAGATGTTACGGAACTACAACTCCCAGAAGCCTTTGACACCACCTCTGCTGGCCAGGATTTCTGGGAGTTGAAGTCCAAGAACATCTGGAGGCCCAAGGTTGGGGACCACTGCTCTAGATGGTTTGGTCTACAACTTATGCCATCCCTTACCATTGGCAGTGCTGAGTAGAGTTAAAGGGTACATTAGGACAAACCATCTGGAAGAAGAAATGTTCTCCACCCCTAATATAGTGGCTAGCTTTAAAAGCCAGCAACTGACTACACCAAATTGTTTTGTGCTGAAAGTAAAACACTTGGTACATCTCAATTGCATGCATAAAACTCTACCTTTGGAAGATTTTTATATGTACACTTCCTACTGAGTACTTACTAGAATTTTAAACCCAGGTCCTTCTCTCTCCTTGTTCTTGACCCATGATTTTACCAATTACAATGTCAGCACTAGCTACTATTTTCTTGTTCTAGACAGATATAAAATTCAGTAATGAATTCTTCTTTTTTAGGGCACCATTAGAGTTTTACCTAGTGGCTGCTGTAAAACATGTAAGTATTATGAAACTATCGTAAGTCCATGCTTATGTCTATGCTCTCTTTCTCTTTCTCCTTTTTTGGCAGGTGCATGCACATCTATGCTCAGTTATGCTCTCCTGATCAATGAAACATTATACTTCAAATGTACAATTAATAATTATAAAAGCAAATTTATATAGAAAGGCTGTGTGTAATTAGAGAACTGTAATTCCAAAGTACTATTTTAGGATAAGTCACATAACATTTGGGGGTATGGCAGGGGACATGCTGCTGCTGCAGGTTAAACTGCAGAAGCCTCTGTGCTGCAAGGTCAGAAGACCAGCCGTTGTAAGATCAAATCCACACAATGGAGCAAGCTCCCATCGCTTGTCCCAGCTCCTGCCAACCTAGCAGTTTGAAAGCATGTAAATCCAAGTAGATAAATAGGTACTACCACAGTGGGAAGGTAACGGCATTCCATGTCTAGTCGCACTGGCCACGTGACCACGAAAACTGTCTATGGACAAATGCTGGCTCTATGGCTTGGAAACGGGGATGAGCACTGCACCCTAGAGTCAGACACAACTGGACTAAATGTCAAAGAGAACCTTTACCTTACATAACATTTAGAGCTTTCCAATTTAAAAAGGTAGACTTCATGCACTGGCTTTTCTAAGATGTCAGAGAGAGATATTTTAAGAACCTGTTACTGACCTATTAATTGCCTCATTCTCCATGATGCTTGTTATCGGTACTTATTTAAAACACCATTTGGAAATACAGGAGAAGTGGAAAAGATTTCCAGATCCTGTTTCTCCAAGAACATGCTTGAAAAGTTCTCGTTTTCTCACTTGCAAGATGAAAACAAGAGAAGACACTATATCATACTTTCAGTACCTCTTATTTCACAGAAAAAGAGATTTCCATAAAGCCAAAAGCTGAAGAAAAAGCTGAGTTAGTCGGGACATAAGGATTAAGAGTTGGCTGAGGGCATAGATAAAGTTATTGATGTTACTTTCATGAAGGCAAAAGAATTAGTTCAAGGTGGCTGGTGGTTTGACATCACATCACTTCATTGTTTTGACATATCTCTATTGATATAAATTCAACTTTGGTATTGGTTTTCTTCAGAGATTTAGCTGGGAAACCCTGTGCCTGAAGTTATCAGTACAAAGAGAATGTTATTATCTCTGTTCTAGAAAGAATTAGGTAATGGTGAATTTTTTAAAGCTTATATTGTGAAACAGAGAAAGAATAGGTAATTAGGTGTTCTACTTCATTGTATTCATGAGTCCAAAAAAGTGTTCTGAAGTTTCCAAAAATATACCCATTGAGTATACCTCTCTTGTTCTGCAGGCATAGCTTTAGAACCTGAAACACCACCAGCGTGCTCTCCGGCTGAAACGACAGATTACATCACTTATGATGGTTGCCGTTCAGAAGAACCAGTCAGTATAACACAGTGTGAGGGAAGATGTGGAACTTCTTCAATGTACGTGAGCCAAACTGGAGAAAGCTGAAATTCATTGAGATATTCATATATTTTTTTTGGGGGGGGGGGATCCTCTACTGTCAACTTTGTTTGGTTTTACTATGTTACCCTAGCTTCAAAGAATGTAAAGGGGTGTGTGAAAGGATCCCTGTTTATTTCAACTTCAGAATTACATAGTATCTTGGGCATTCACAACCACTTGGATAAAAGAACTAGTGGAATAATTGGTTTCCTTAAAAATAGAATCCATGTGAGAAGGCCTCTCATAGGCTTGGTGGCTAGATTCATATAAATAAGGGAGGAGTTGATGAATTTGTGTAGTGAAACAGGGTTGATAGTGTTGCATATCAGAAGATGTGCCTCTGCTGTGCTCTCAGAAAGGTGGTGTTGAACCTTTCTTGGAAAAAACAATAGAAAATCACCAACTGCAGAGCAAGGAAGGGAAGAATCTCCAAGCACAAGAGATTGATGTTGTTATTGTTTTAATAAAGTCAGAAACATTTAAGTTGAATTCTTTCCCAGGGACCCCTTTAAAGGAAGGTCTATCCCTCTTTTATCAGGCCTTCTAAATGAAGGTGAAAATTAAGAGGATTCTCTCTCTCTCTCTCTCTCTCTCTCTCTCTCTCTGTGTGTGTGTGTAGGGAGTGAGAAATCCATAGTACTTTCAAGAGGGAAAATTGAGGTGTGTCTAAACAACAGGAAAATTTGAAGTGATCCACTGTGATTTCACATTTGGGAAGTTCGGCTTACCTGGATGAATTTGATTTAGCTCACCATACAAGAGCTTGCATTATACTTCAAATGTCCAATTAATAATTATACAAGCAAACTTATATAGAAAGGTTGTGTATAATTAGAAAGCTGTAATCCCAACCATACAAGAGCTAGCAGTGAGAAAAAGGAAGAAATTGGCAATCATTCTTCTTTGCAACTTGTTAAGGCTGCTTTACTTTAGTCATGCAGATATGCAAGAGGCACAGCTACAGCAAAACTTTCTTAATAAGCTGCAAATAAGGGCTGGCAGCCAATTTCCTCCTCCCTGACTCCTACCTGGTAGACTGAAGCAAATGGGATTCCGCCAGCTGGTTTTATAAATAAGGGCTGATTGCCAATGTCTCCCAGGTGCCTTAGTGCACTAGCACTGACATCAAGTCTTTAAAAAAAATAATGGTTTGAAGGTAAAAGGTGCTCAGTTCAGCTGGTTCACTCCTTTTTCCAGTGATCCCATGACACATGTTCCGTCATGAACCAGCCTGCCTTTGATTGATGCCTACCCACATCTTTTTGGTTCCTTGTCATGGGCTATTGTTTTTGTTTGTTTTTTGGCAGCAGTAAGATCACTCCATCTTAGTTCGGCTCCTGCATGCTTGTCATGGGCTATTGTTTTTGTTTGTTTGTTTTTTGGCAGCAGTAGGATCACTCCATCTTAGTTCAGCTCCTGCATTTGTGAGCAGTAAGATTGAACCATAGCAACTGCCTGACTCTCCCTTTGCTGAAGCTACTTCCTGATCTTGAAAAATTAGAATCTTCCTGGCCACTTACCTGCAGAGGGGAAAGGAGGAGAAGTTTTTCATTTCTATTTCGTTGTTGCTAAGGCATCACTGGTGCTTCGAAAGAGCTTTTTTCTTAAAAGTCTTTTCAAAGCCTCACTGATTCACTATATTGGTTTAGCAACACTTAAAATGAAATGAAATGCTTCGTCTCCTTTCCCTTCCACAGGTGAGTGGAAAAGAAGCCTCTAACTTTTCAAGATTGTTAAGCAGCTTAGAAAGCATGGAGGAAGAGACATGAGGGTGCTTTTTGTTTTTGTTTTTCATTATTTTCCTTTTAAAAGGAAAGAAGATTGATCAAGATCATGTTGAAGAGGGTCACTTGAAGTGAATTGTGGTTGATCCTTGCATACAGATGCATGGATCTCCTCAAGCAACCTACTATTACCTCCAAGACACCTTGTTTAGCACAAACTTGACTGAGCCAAGTCAGCGTAATTGTGCTTTCCAGTTGTACCCTAAGGGTGCTTTGGAGAACGTAAATACCCTGACAAGAGCCTAACGTTTTCTCAGCATTGTGGCTCTGAATCTGGTGTCATACAGGTTTAGATCTGGCACAAATTAACTCCACCCCTATTCCTTCCTTTCTCCACTCCCCCTTTTTTGTTCTTCTGGCACCTTATCTCAGTTGTCACAGCTGTTGTGCCAATAGACCCAGCTGTGATGCTGTGATAGCAAAGCAGAGATTTGGGATCAGCCAGCAGATGGAGGTTTTGCTGATATAAGGACAGTGTTGGCAATACAAGGGGTTTCTCCCCATTCCAAATGCACCACAACTGGAATAGCTTTGAGTCTGGATTGCAGTGTAACACAACAACCTCTTCCAATTCATGTATAAAATCAAAGTTCCTGGAATTTTGGTGGTGGTGGTGGGAAATGAAATGGATGAATTTCCCTGTTGTAGACCACATGGAATCTCAGTATTTCACAAAGCAGCTAAAGAAACAAGATCCTTCAAAACAAGACTTAGCATTTTAATATCAGCTCTCTGATCTTTAACAAGTGCATAATCACTAAGTGTGCAGCATAAATCACAGTACCAATGTTTATTTTCTTGCTATAAAAACAGATACTCTGTTGAAGCCAACACAATGGAACATAAGTGCAGCTGCTGCCGGGAATCAAAGACCAGCATGAAGGAAATCACTCTGCTGTGTCCTGGTAGACAGAGCAAGAAACATCGCTACATCTATGTGGAAAGCTGTGAATGTCTCAACACTGAGTGTGACCAGTCGGTTCCATCAGAGTAATCCCAGGAGACCTAAGGATGAAGTAGCACGGAATAATCCAGAGTTTAGAAGAGGAACGGAGCACCAGGGAAGGACAATTAAAGCAGTAAAGTGAAGATAAGAAGGTCCTGAACTTAAGGAAAAGTTCTCACTCTTTTTAAAAGGATATACAGTACAAAGACTTTACATGCTTTATCATTGTCCACAAATCATTCTGCATCTTGCTTTATTTTTGACATTACTCTCAATCCATGCCTTCTCTGTCTGTTTTCCCATTGCACTCTGTTTATTTATTTGTGTAAAAAAAAAAAACCTCAGAAAAAAAGTTTTTCCCAAATGTAAAGAGAATGTGATGTTTTATGAATTGCACTATTTTCAATCAACTTTTTGCTTGCGGTAATTAAAGGCACAATTCAAAAGTGAGGCTTCTACTCCTATTTTGTTTACAAATACTTTGCATATTATTGAACCTCTTGCAATAAAATTAGCAAGAACTATGTTTCAGAGTTCAAAGAAAATCTTGCAATTTTAATACACTTCCTTAAGTAGCAACTGAGTTGCTCTCTCTCCATTGGGGCTCCTCGTGGTGTTGTTTCAGGTTCCCTGCTATGTCCTTTCTACCTAGTGTCACTCAATGGGTGATCTCCTCAATTCCCATGGCTTTCATTAGTACCTATACCTGATGACCTCTAGCTTTCCCCGGACTTTCCCACTCCATCCAGTCATATGTTTCAAATGGCCTGATATTAGTGTCTCATCTTAAATCATATGCCCAATAGCTCATCTTTTTTCTCCAACCAATCTTTCTGGATTATGACTTGCATCCTGTGACTACTGAATTTTCTCTGGTGGGAAGAATAATGCCAGTGCTGAGGAATAAGTAGTGGACTGGGTTGATACTTGTAAGGAGTGAGGTATGAAACAAGAAGTCAAAACACAAATTTAAAACCACCCATGGCTCCTCAAATCAGTACCAAACAGGTAAACGTTACTCAAGATGGCCCAGGTAGCATTCCTCTTCCCCCATGGCATCTTACCATTAGTCTGTGAAGTAACTCAGGCTGAGAGAAGGTGATTCAGACTAAGTTCGCCCATGGGTTTTGTGATGCAGGCAGGATTTGCACCTGGATCTTGCACATCTAGGCCCATCACTTTAACCATTGCAGCACATTAGTTCTTATGTAATCATTCTGTGATCTGGAAATCAACCTTGCAACGCACATTGTGTTGGAAGTTGTGCCTTGAGGGTTGGGCATCATATCCTAAAGACAAAGTATGGAACTAAGGTGTTAAAACAAGGGGCAGTAGAAGATGACAGGCGTTGTGGCACAAGGCTTTTCGATGATGAGAAAGATTAAAAAGCAGGTTCTCCCACTGGTGAGAGAAGTAGTTACGCGAGTTAAAAGAGAAGGGCATAGAACTGAAGACACCCAACAGCCTTTTCAAAGTCTGAGCAGTTTGTCTTTCTTGCACCCTTCGGGGCTCAATGGCAACTGCGCAAGGGCTCTGGAGTGTCTGCAAGTTTCTTTGAGGTGTTGCTTTAAGAAAGATAGAAACTAACATGAAAAATTCAGTGTATGTGTTGCAAACATTCCTGAAAACAGAAATGATATTCAAACCCTGCAAAACCAAAAGAGGACTTCTTTTATGTTTAGTCTATGTGCTTTCTGTAGAACACTGAACAATAAAACACTTCAGGAAGAAATCCTGTTTTAGTTTTGCAGAGGGTGATTATCATTTCTGCAGATACTAGTTTTCAGTGGACTTGTATTTTATTTTATTTAACTTATATGCCGCCCACACTACCCAAAGGTCTCTGGGCAGCTTACAACCACTAAAATAAAACAAGGTCTCTGGGCAGCTTACAACAAATAAATATAATTCTAAGATAAAACCATTAAAATACAATTAAAATATATATTCTAAAAATTGCTATCAAGACCCACAGTTGATATTATTTCAATTAAAAGCCTTCTAGAACAGGAAGGTTTTGACCTGGCGCCGAAATGTCATCAGTGTCAGTGCCAGAGGAATCTCAATTGGGATGGCGTTTGATAGTCTGGGGGCAGCTGCTGAAAAGGCCCTTTGTCTACAAGCCATCCCTCTTACAGTACCTCCTTGAGGGATGGCTCTTCCAAAAGGGATCCCTGGCTAGATCTTAACTGCCGGGTAGACTCATGTGGAAGGCGGCGGTCTTTCAGGTATCCAGGGCCCAAGCCATTTAGGGCTTTATATGTCAAAAGAAGCACTTTGAATTGGGCCCAGGCAGCAACTGGTAGCCAATGGAATTTAAACAGAATCGGCTTGATATGTCCCCTAGTGGCCCCACCACTCACCAGGCGCGCAGCTCGATTCTGGACCAGTTGCAGTTGCCAGACCATCTTCAAAGGCAGCCCCACATAGAGCGCATTGCAGTAATCTATACGAGATGTTATCATGGATGAGGACAGTCTTATTTTGTACTGTTCATCCTCAGCACCGTGTGGCTCGAGGGTTTGCTGATATGGTCACCTGATACCATCTGGTTGGGGGTAGGACTAGAAGAGGGGATAGATGAAAGATATCTAACCTCTCTTCTCCTACGTGGGCATGTTCTACCCCCACCGCCATTCCTTCCCCTACCCAACACCACCTCAATAGCTCCCCGCTCCAATGCCATCACCCCTTCCTGTTCCCTCAGATCCATTGTGGGTCTCTATATAAACTTGATGCCAATTAATAATCACAATAATAATATTTTTATTTTAAAAACCCTTCTAAAGCCTCTGCTCCCCTCCGAGCCAGGTGGCTGATGTTGAGGAGGGGGTGGGCCTGGCCCCACCACTCACCAGCCACGCAGCTCGATTCTGGACCAGTTGCAGTTGCCGGACCATCTTCAAAGGCAGCCCCACGTAGAAAAAGATGAAAAGATGAAAAAGACTCCCCCAAAGGCAGGAATGCTGGTCCCATGGAATGCATGGGATTATGCTTTGTTTATCTCCTGTATTTTTTTCCAATGCTGGCTAATCATTCTCTGATCTGGAAATGTACCACGTAAGAAAACTATGATTGAATGTTTCAGCATTACAGACCATCAGCAGATTGGTATCAGCCATTTTCTAGGAAGAGGCTTCAGAGTCATTTGTTTCAAACTCTTGTTCAATTAGTCACAGCTTCATGGTTTAATTTAACATAAGTTATTCATTGACCTTGGCATTATTAGTTCCTCTCAAGATGTTCTCCACAGCTGCCTAGCCTTGGTTAATCCTGCAACTTTTTGACAGCTGAACACCTTAAACCAAATGCTATCCATGGGCCATCTCATGACAGCATGCTGAGCCACATTGTGACATCAGAAACAAGCATCAGCAATTCATGAGCTGTTAAAATGCCCATTTTACACTAAGCAACAAACACTATAACACTATCTACTCATGGTCAAGGGCTTTTTCATTGAAAGAATTAAGATACAATTTGACAGATTTCCATCAGCAAGGTATCATTTAACAGCCCAGAGTGTGTAGCCAGTGTTCCTATGATTTGTCACAGATTACACATGGTAGGTCTCCTAATTCCTTAGCCAGAATGCTGTTGGGAGATGTAACAGTAACTGTGCAAGCCATTCTTGCCTTCATCAGAGTCTGTTACATGGCCAGCCACACACTGGGGTGAAATAGATCACATGAACAACATGCCAGCAAAGAGGAGAAACTACTTGTGCCATTACCATTGTGCACTTGTTTCTACCAATAGGCTTCTGACCCTTGTACCTAGCTGCCTACTCAAGGAAGAATCCAGACAGATCAAACAAGAAGAAAGTATTGGTCTTCAGTAAGCAATGAGCTTGTTATCCTCCCGATATTGTTGAACTGTGGCTGCCATCATTCCTAGCATAGGCCAAGATGAGCAACCATAAGAGGCCTGTACATCCAATATCTAGATGGCCATAAGTTCTTCACCTCAAAGCTGAAAGAAGGTTCTATGACACAACCAATCAACTCAAAAACAAATACTGTAAATATTACAGTATGATATTACAACACTAGGATGTTCTGGTTTGTATTTTGAAGCAGGGTATACTGTGTGTATAGCTTATCTTGCCTCAATAGGGATGAAATTCAAATGAGAAGCACTGATCTTACATAGATGGATATGATTTTAAAATTACTGTTCTTATTGGGGGTATTTGTGGTCTATACATACGTGGCGAAAGATCATCACCAGGAATAAATTTGAAATAGTGGAGAAAAGTTTAGCTATTTTGGGTATGTTTAACTTGGAGAAGAGAAGACTGGGAGATTATATAATAACCACCTTCAAATACTTGAAGGGCTGTCACATAGAAGAGGGAGAAGCTTGTTTTCTCTGACTCCAGAGGGCATGACCCAAACTGATGGATTCAAATTGCCAGAAAGGAGATTTCAGCTAAATATAGTATTAAGAACTGTCTGACCATAAAAGCTGCTTTGACAGTGAAATGAATTGCTTCAGAAGTGGATGGACTCAGAAACTGGAGGTGTTGTGGTTTTTTTAAAAAAGAAGTTGGATGACTATTGGTCAGAAGCACTTTAACTGTGGACATCCTGCTTCAATAAGGGCCTGGATTTGATAATCCTTGGTGTCTCTTGTAGCTCTGCAGTTCTGTGATTCTATGATTCTACAGTTCTGCTTTCAAAGCTGATGCAGAGATTCAGAATGCTGAACCACATCCATAAAAAAATCCCCCTGCTCTTCTCTGAAGTAAATTACAGAGTTAATTTTTAAGTCATACACTAACAAAACCAAATAGCTCTCAGTAGTAAATGACCCATGAAAAATGTGTTCCAAGGGCTAAAGATCTGTGTCGAATGAGCTTCATAGCTCAACTTGTTTATAGACTGGGTAAGATGCTCAATGTCAGTTCATGTGCCAAAGGAATTTTAATCTTGCAATGGTAACAATGCACTGTCATAAGAGACAGTCTGGAATTCACCTGGGGGCTGTCAGTGGCAGTAACTTTGGGGCTGGATAGCCATCCACCATCTCAGTGACATTCCCTCCTAGAGCTCCACTCACTGTGAAGCTGCTGCTCCCCTTGGTTTTAAATTTGGCCAGTTGGAATGGCCAATTTTCTTGGTGAACAGAATATCTTGGGACATCATGTCCGGCAACGTGGGGAATTTAAAAACCGTTGCCAGCCCCTCAGAATTCTCTTTGTCTTCTGGAGCATCTCCCTCCCATCTACCTCATGTTGTTTTGAACTTTTCTTGAAAATGTTTGTTCTAAGTGGGTATCTGGACATATGTGGTTAGTCAATAAAGAACTGGAGTGTATCCTATAGGTTCACATCACAAATTTGATGGGGACATTTGGGAAGCAAGGGGATCGACCCTGGTGGTAATGATAGGGTACCTCAGGCACAGGATGCCCTCCATAATTGACCCACTTTACGGGGTTGAGATTTGGAAGGTCATATGGATACCTAGCTTGTTGACTGTTGCACACACCCCATTCTCTGGGTGACAGGCAGGGCCATACAGTGGCATATAGCCATGTGGTTACGCCTGTGTTTGTCTCCCTGGTTTTCATCAAACACCAAGTGGAGTGACTGAGGAAGATTGGCCTCCTATGCTAGTGTCAGAGACTACTGACAGCTAAAACCAGTAAAGCTATGACCATTTTTTCATCAAAACAGCTTATGCGTTTTTGGTTATTTGAGCTCCAGCCCTGGGGCCATCATCAGACTCGCTAACTATATTTAAAAAGTTGCTGCTATCTGTAGGAAATGCCCGTGACAGGAACAGTAACTGTAACTCTGGTCTGAGGTGGGGGAAAACCTACTAAATATGTAGCTATATAAATTGACCCATGCCTCTGATTTCAAACTTTGAACACTGCAGCATTGGGCATTTCAAGACAGTTTTTAAGGATGCAGCAATATATAGGTCCATATTAAATTTACTTGCCCAATTGCTCTAGAGATTAAATTGAATGGAACCTGGATTTGCCTTGACCAAGAAATACTGGTGTCCAGGTACACTTGGAAGTGCATGTACTCCTAGCTCTTACCTCTTCTGGTTCCTTCTTGACAAACCACAGTGGGAACAGACAGTATATACACTGATTGGCCACAACATTAAAACTACTGACAGATGAAGTGAATAGCATTGATTATATCATTACAAGACAACTGTCAAGGGGTGGGATATATTAGGCAGCAAATGAAGAGTCAGTTCTTGAATTTTATTTGTTGCAAGCAGGAATTGTGGGAAAGTGAAAAAAATCTAAGTGACTTTGATAAGGGCCAAATAGTGATGGCTAGATGACTGGGTCAGAGCATCTCCAAAACAACAAGTTTTGTGGGGTGTTCCTGGTATGCAGTGATTAGTACCTACCAAAAGTGATGCAATGAAGGACAACTGATGAAAAAGCAGCAGAGTTGCAGCTAAGGCTCATTGAAGCACATGGGGAGTGAAGGCTAGCCCATCTCCTCTGATCACACAGAAGAACTACTGTAGCTCAGATTGCTGAAAAACTTAATTCTGGCCATAAAAGAAAGGTGTCAGAGCACACAGGGCATCACAGTTTGCTGTGTATGGGGCTGCGTATCCACAAACCGGTCAGAGTACCTGTGATGACCCCTATCCACCACTGAAAGTGCCTGCAGTGGGGACGTGAGCATGGAGCAATGGAAGAAGCTTGCCTAGCCTGATGAATCATGTTTTATTTTAGATCAGGTGGATGGCCAGGTGTGTGTGTGTGTTGTTCACCTGTGGAAGAGATGGCAGCAGGATGCACTATGGGAACAAGTTTTGTGGGGTGTTCCTGGTATGCAGTGATTAGTACCTACCAAAAGTGATGCAATGAAGGACAACTGATGAAAAAGCAGCAGAGTTGCAGGCTCCTAAGGCTCATTAATTTTGGAAGTTCCCAATATGCAAATTAGATGGCAGCAGGATGCACTATGGGAAAAAAGCTGTCTGGTGGAGGCAGTGCTATGCTCTGAGCAATGTAGTCCATAAATGGACAAAATCAAATATACTTGCTGTTAAGAACTCCATTTTGTTCTTTTGAGAAAACAAATTTTGGAAGTTCCCAGTATGCAAATCTATGAATGCAGAACATTGAAATTTGTCAGGTTTATTCCCTTCTTTGGCTTCTTTGACTTCTCCAGATTTCATATACAACAGTGAGGGGAAAAAAACAGGAAAGTGATAGCCATTTTGATTTTTCCAGTGTAAGTCAAGGAGGGGGCAAATAATCCAAATTTGCAGAAAGATTCAGATTCAGAGCTCAAACAAAATCAGGCAGGGCCTACATAACTATGGCCTAAACTAGGATCCAATCCAAAGTGGCAAAATGGCTTCTGATCTAAATCAGGGGTCTTGTGCTTAGCTTTAATTTACATCACCTATATCTTTAAGCCAGCGTAGATTTCTGTGCCAGGAAGAAATATGTTACTATAAAATCTCCTTCCTTCTTTCCAAATACAGACTAATTACTTCATCTGTTATTTGTGACAACCCCCCACCCGAGCCTTGGACAAAGTGAAAAGATCTAAGTGAAAGAACAAGAAAATGAATCTCAGGGCAATCTGCAGCATTAGAAGCTATTTCCTACAGAATAAAGCTGTTGAATCCCTTAATCTTGGAAACTGGCTGCATAAACTAATGTATCAAAGCACACTTTATGAGTCTCAGACTCCCTAGAGTCTGCTCTGTATGAAATGAGATCCAGAGTTTGTGTTTTATCCAGCTGTAAAAGATTGCTCAGCAGCACCTGTGTGGACTTTGTGGAACAGTTCCAAATGTTGGGTGGGAGAGGGAAGTCACAGAATCAAAGATTAAAGGCAAGATCATGGAATCCAGGAACCAAATGCTTTTGTCATTTTGAAACCAAGAAAAGGAGCAACACTCAGTTCTCATTAAGCAATGAGAGAAAACTCTTATTGCTCCACCTTAGCGTGTTCATATGCAAAAAAATTTGGAGTATAAAATATTTCCATAAACCAGGAAATAAATCACTTCCTGAGAGAAAGTTCTCTGATGTCTGCCTTGCTTTAGATAGCTGGAATGAAGAAGGGAGGCCAGCTCTGGATTTTGTGCTTGCTTTGCAGCTGCTGCAGGAGCAAGACAATAGTGCAGATGGGTAAGGAAATCTATTTTTAATATTGTTTGTAAATGTTTCCAAATCTTAGATTTCAGCTATATAAACCTGACAGTCTCTAGGCAGGTAAACAACAAATCAAACTGACCACATTTAAACATGGTTACATTATATTACATTCAAAGGGAATCATTAAGCATAATTGGAGTTCCTTTATAGATATCATTGAGACTTGAAAGTGTTTAATCATGCTCCATTTACACTTTAATATGAAGTGAAAATTCTGTTCTACTTTCGGCAAATATTTTTGTCACTCGATCTTTTAAACAGGGATATGTACTCTCTTCATGGTCACTTCAGGGGTGGGGTGGGGGCTCCTCATCATGTTTTTCAATTGAGGCACTTCCCCTAAAATCAATGAGCCACTTCACTATCTGGGTGCTTATCTCCAGTTGAAATACTTGGTGAGCTCAGTTGTGACTACTAGGAAGATAATTGGTGAGGCAATGACTTTAATAAAGTAATAATTTAGTTTGGTATATAAAAATCACCAGTGATCATCTCCACAACATGTTACAGTTGATACAATTATTTGGATAGACGAAGTACAAAATGGTGGAATCCTTCCATTCATATGAAGTGAATTAAAATCAACTAAATTAACCACAGTAGGCCCATGAGACAGTAGGGGAAACACCACATATTTGGTGAAAGAAATGTAAATAGTACAAACAGATTGATATTAGCTGAAAATGTATTCATTCAATAAATCAAGGCATAGTTTCTACTAAGTTATTGTTTGCAAACTGTCTCTTAATAAAATTAGTTAATTTAGTCCCTTGGTATAGTTATTTCATATTCTATTAAGTTCTTTGGTTCTTGGTATAACTTTGATGTATGCCTTTTCAAAATGAGTTTACTATACAGTATTTACAGCCTTAAACCCAAGAATCAATAGGTGGAAGAAGTTAAGATAGGCTGGCAGTGACCCTTTGATGCTAAAGAGGATCTTTGCCAGAGGGGGTCAGGAATTGGGAATGTCTCTTGGAAAACTGCACAGAAAACTTCAGACACTAAAATAAACTATTTGGGGGATAGATATAAATTTGGATCTGCTGCTTTCATAGGCTCTCCCTATCTTGTCCCATACCTTGCCAGAAGCAGAGAAATGAAAAATTTGAAAACAGTATCAGTGGCAATGACAAAGAAAAAGGCCAAGTCTACCTGATCCCCATCATCTTGCTACCTTCACCACCATCCCCTTTAAGACTCTACTTGCATTTAGGATTAAGTATTCTCCACTTTTGATTCTGAGCTAAAGCAAGGCATTGGGGTGGATTGAGAATTTGTCCAAAAACATATTTAAACTGTTCTGTGGTTTCTGTTCAGCATTCACTGTCGGTTCCACCTGCCGGCTTCTTCTTTTGACTGTCTGGATTAAGTATGTGGTGGGCTCAAATACTGAATGAGATGACAACATAATCGTTTGCAGTCAATCAGATTTGGTTGTAGGATAACACTCATGGGGACAAATGTAGAACATGAGAAAGTTATCTTTTTAAACTACAACATTCAGAACCCCAAGTCAGTATAGAATTCTTAGAACATGAGTCAAGAAAACTGATGTCTCTAAGATCTGAAGCGCAAACAAGGGCTATTTTTTTTAAAAAAAACAAGCAATCCTCTTTAAAACAAGTGCTGAAAATGGTTGGAAAAAGGGATCTTTTGTGCTGTCTTAAGTATTAATGGGGGGGGGAATAGGGTGTTGTGTTATCTTAATGAACTTTGAATCAGACACCTAATAGTAGATCTGCAATTTTGCATAGAGTATATGCAACACTGGCAAACAAATACAATCTTTATATCCATTACAGAAACTGCCAAAAGGTTCATGGTTTTGTTGGTTATGTATAACAATTCAGGGAACATCTGTTTCTATAGACACTCCCAGATGTGATAGTGTAATTTATGATCCTGGAAGAAAATGATCTTTTAATGAAAAATGGTCAGCATTCCTGGATATTTCACAACACTTCAGAGTTCACTGAACAGGAAAGGACTCATTTGATTTGAACAGAGATACAGTATCTTGCTTTGCTAGCACTTCCTGCAAGTGCTACATCAGTATGTAATAATGAGCATGTTCCTTTCCACTGCCCCAATTGCTGCTTGCCAGATCAGCAAATATGAGTTTAATGTCACAGTAGTTCTTCAATTAAAACATGCAACACTCAATGTGTTAAGTGCTACTGTCACATTGGCAATGTGTAAAGCAACTTCCCCTGAACTGATGGCCTTCAAATATTGACTGAAACCTCCAATTTTCCTCTTCTCGACACATTTGCTTAAATATAAGTCCCACTGACCTTAACGGGACTTACTTCCAAGTGCAGGATTGCACGATATTGTCTCTCAAGAAATGCCAAGCTCCACCTGAAAGCATATTTTCTTTGATCTGGCTAGGCTGCATAAATATGATTCTATGATTCTATGAATATGTAGGAACAACCTTCCATATGTATATTAGTCACCAGGTAAGGCACCACATAAACAAACAGCTGATGTACTGTGTGAAATTCTCTTTCTGATTCAATTCAGTTGCCAGAGTCATTCTTCGCATCCCTGGCTAGAAAACCAGCTTGTTGGGTGAGGGAGGGAGACTACAAGTAGATTTCAGCTCTGTTCCACTCTGAAAGAATTGGTCAGTTTTCACATTGTTTATTTGCCCACGTGTGTATGTATTCAGTCCCAGTAGCTGCACATCTACATAAGTTGATAAGAAAGCTGTTGCTAGACTGATGTATTTGGATGAGTGACACAGTGTGATGAGGGATGAATTGGGCCAAAATCTTGTAATGTAGCCTTGACAAAGAAGAAAAAAAAAGCCAGTGCAGGATTTGAGGAATACTGACCTTGTTTTCTTGGCAAAGGGTCTATATCCCATTTTCCTCTCATTTATTCAGTAGGAATATAACCACATAGCCAAATCTGATGGACAGAGTGGAATCACAATGTATTGTCTTCACTATAATATTCCATTATTCAGGATAACACATTGAATAAAATGCTTTCAGCCACAAAAAAGATGGATGGATAGTAAAACATCACCCTACCATTTCTCAGATATGGGTTACTTCAACATGTCATAATAGTTATTCTTCCTAAAAGGAAATTTCTGAGCTCTGCAAAAAATTCTTTATCAATATAAACTGGGAAATTATATATCCAGACTAGAGATGGGCACAAATTGCCATAAATTTATGCATTTTTCTTAAAAAAAAAAACACACACAAATCAAGTCATTGGTTTGTTCAGGAAAATTTTTAAGACTGCCCAATAGCTGCCAAAACAACAGTAACAGATGCCTCCGCACCCACACAACCTGCTCCCACCCTTTTCCACTGCCCCCATGGAGGCAGGCTGGGAGAGCAATGAATTGGGAAGTTCATAAATAAAAAAATCATTAGTTCAGGAAGCTCAGGTTCTCCAGTTTGGATGAACCTATACTGATCTGAAGCAACAAATTAGTGATTTTTGATGAATCTCCTGTTCATTTTTAACTTTGTGCCCATCTCTAATGCAGACAATAAAAAGATGGTTCTTTCCATCCTTATTTTCCATCTCTTTTTCTCTTCCTCTTCCTCTGTCCTCTTTTTCACCATTTTCACTCTTCCTTATCCTATTGTCCGCCTTGCCTTCTCTCTTTCTCTGTTAGTTTTTGCTCTCCATGTCCCAGCTGGTGGACAGTGCTTTTTAATGGGCCACTTTCAGTTACAGAGCAAATGTTATTCCCTTCTAGCCCAGTTTTCACTTTTAACTGACCTTCAAGATTCTGTGGTTACTGAGAATGCTCCAGCATCACTGGGCTGGTTTTTGGAAGATTACTCCTTTATGTTTTACATTTGAAACATGTGTGTGGGTTTTCTGGGCTGACTCCAAGAAGGCAACTCTTACTTCCTTTTGGTGCTCAGTGGCTGTCCTTGGGTATTCTGGGATGGAGTCCAGAATTAGGGTAACATGCCAGAATTCTTTGGCTTCTGATAGACCACCTCCATGAAGATGGAAGATCTTCAAAGGTGTAACTTGTACATAAATGTGTGCTACTGTTAAATATCTGTGTTAAACTTTTTAGCCTCTTCTACATACAGTATTTAGACTTAGGACCATGTAAACAGCTGATTGTACCTTATAATACTTCTCACTTTCTTAATTCTGTCTGCAGTTCAGCGCTCTGCAGTCACTGCCAGTGCATGCTCCACCTGGGGTAATTTCCACTTTCAGACATTTGACCACACAACATTTGACTTCCCTGGACTTTGCCATTATGTATTTGCTTCCCACTGCAAAGATGAACATCAGGACTTCAATATAGAGATCACAAGGAGCATCAAGAATGGGATGGCCATCTATTTCACAGCCACCATAGACAGAGTGCTTCTGGAGGTGAAAGAACCAGGCATCACTGTTGATGGGAAGGCGTGAGTTGGCTTAATGTGTGTCTATAATGTTCTGTTTTCTTAAGAATGTTCCTGCACAGTGAGAGCAGTGATACATAGCTTGATCTAGAGTCTGAAATAACCAGTGTTGAGGAAGTTCACAGTTGTGTAGGGGGAGGCAAAGGGTAGCCATCCAGGTGTCATTGGACTGCATCTCTCATAAGGTCTCATATGATGGAATTGCAGCTCAACAGTGATTGGAAACCTGTGCTTTGCCCACCCTTGTAACTGTTCCAAAAGAAGGCAATTTCCAACATTTCACATGCTTCCAGACAGAGGGCTCAATAATACTACTAGTCGGAAAGCATTGCCTTGCCATTCCATTTTTAAACCATCTTGAATATTTTTCTGCTAATTAAAAGGGGTCCTAATGGAAAGCTTGTCAGGATTACAAATGAATGACATCACCTATATTCCCCCTGCCCCTTCAATGACTGGGGCATGGCCATTACACAATCAAAGCTTTGCCTGAAAGGGCCAACTTTTTCGTGAGCTACTAAGGACATAGCAACAAAAATGATGCAGTCCTGGATTTCTGTTTNGTCCAACTTGTCCTTCCTTCCTTCCTTCCTTCCTTCCTTCCTTCCTTCCTTCCTTCCTTCCTTCCTTCCTTCCTTCCTTCCTTCCTTCCTTCTCCTGTTCTCCCATAATGCCTTGGAATCACTGTGCATTGCTTCAGATCACTGTGAATAATTGCAGTGGGAACTGTCTGGTGCTCATCAGTGAAACATGATTATCATCCCTTTTGTTCTCTATTTCCCACGAAAGAATGAGACAGACAAAGACTGACATCACTACATGGATCTTACATTGTTTTCCAGAGTGAGAGGTCTAATCACCAGAGACCTGTACATTTTCTCAATTGGAATGCCTCTAAATATTTATACACATGAGAGAAATGCAAATACATATGCTTTTTCAACTACAAAGCTCTTCTTCAGGTTCACATCAATGTGGAAATAGTGTAATTTTATGTGTCTATTGAAAAGTGAGTACCAATGAATTCATTCTGGCATATTTTGATGTAAATATGTATAGGACTGAAGTGATAGGCTTCACTCTTACAAATATTAGGGAATGTGAACCATTGGACACATTGGCAGGAATCTTGCTACTTAGTGAAGTCACTCACAATAGATCTTTGAATCAGTGGGGATTTGTAATTTCCATTAATTCAAATGAGCCTACTCTAGTTGTGAATTTCTAAACAGCACTGAAAAATGCTATTGCAATGTCAGGCTCATTCATAATGTCAAGCTTTGTTTTTGATTTTGTCTTTGGAATCCTTCATTATTGATAACTGGCAACTTTACACTCCATCTGAAATGAGCAAAGCAGTATCAGAGAGACAACCTGGGGCTGCCTTTTCCGAATTACTAACATCGAAAACATGGGAGACCTTATCAGTTGAGGGAAACCTTATCGAGAAACTGTATTTTTTCGAATCAGTATATGTAAACCCCAGTGTGTATCAAAAAAGCAGTGGGGTGGGGGAAAGATTGTTGCTTTATTTCATCAGGGCGCATGGGTCTCTGTGTACCAAAGCAAAGCATGCCTCATTAAACAGTTATATGTAACTGTATAGATATGCGTTCAAGGAAAATAACTAGAGTAGACATATAAATTAATGGTGCATTTCTAGGTGGGAAAAGATCTCAATCTCTGTCATACAAACTTTCTATTTCCTGGAGCAAAAGGGAACTCCTGTACTGATAACAACTGTGGATAGGAAAAAGTTGACTTGTTAATTGCAGCAACATGGGAGGGAAAGTATTTACTTTGCAAGCATTTTCCTGCTTTGCAGCTTTCATCGGTGTATGGAGCTCTTCCAACTGCTACTTTTGCCCAAAGTCACAGTTCTCTTTAAAGGTATTATGTCCTTTGCATCACATGAAGACACATATCACAACAATTGTCACACTCCATTTGCATAGATTGCAGTGAGTGTAGCAAATGAATAAGTATCTAATTGAAACAAAACAGACAGCAGTTGAAAGAAGCCCCTAAATATTGTCCAGTATTGTTAAAAAGATCACTCTGGACCAAAAAATAATCACGATTCTATAATATGGGAAAAATTATTTATTTATTTTATTTATTCTATTTATATCCCGCCTATCTGGTCAATTACGACCACTCTAGGCAGTGGAAAAGTTACTTTTTGGACCATAACTTCCATAATCCTCCAGCAATCATGTTAGCTGGGGGATTCTATGAGTTGTAATCCGAAATTCAACATTTCTAAGCTCTGAGACATATGTGTCAGTGTGACATTTACCCCATGGCCCCTGTTTGTTTCACCAAACACAGAGCTCACAAAGGTATCCCAACATGCCCTTTAACACGCTGCCACCAGTTGATCTCTTTATCAGCCTATATTTCCTATGACAGACCGAGGGCCATTCAGTACTGAATTTTTAAACAGAAACAGGTTTATTGATTACAAGTTGTTTTAGGACTAGTTCTTAAGCACATTCTTAAAGTTACACAAAGTTTCAGTATTTTACTTTAACCGCTTCTATCTTAATTAATACAGGTCACACTCTGACTAATCACTCCTTAAACATTCTCTCTTCCTCTAACCTCCGAACTCTTTTTCCCTTCCAAAATGTCTGACTGAGCCACCTAGACGCTGACTCACCCCTCCCTTCTAGTTTCTCTGGCTCCGCCTCCCAACAGCTCTCATTGGTACATGCAAATAATCTTCTACCTGAGCCAAAGCAGGTTGATCGCTACAGTCAGTGACTAGTGAAATTTAAAATTAATAATAACTCTTCAAATGTTTGAAGAGAGAATCACTCGTTGTACAAAGAACTTTGGACTTTTGTGTCTATCTGGGATTTAACAGTACATTTTTGCTTGTTTATATGTTTGCCACTTTAATTTCATTTATAAAAACTCACATAACCATATGACTAGGTTTTTAGAGGATGATAAGGATGGTTGATACCTTTATCAGACCACTAAAATACAGGCAGCATTCTCCCTTGTCTTTGTTGTGTACAAAGACCACGTCTCCCCTTTCCCCATTTTTTCTTAAATAAAATTGTCTTAGAGGCAAAGTATATTTGTTCAGTTTTACTTTTGAGCTCTTTTCCATGTTTAGTGTTTGACAGTGTATTTTCATTTTTAATGTTGGATTTTCCTGGGGATAATTTACAGCCTTTCTCAAGTTGCCTCTTTGGGTTTTTTTTGATGATCTTCAAATGGTGGTTGCAATCTCGCCAGTGGCTCCCATTAATCAAAGATGTGAATGGCAGGCAAGATGCAGACATAAGAGAAAGACACTGAAGTCATTCTGCATCCCCCAAATCAACTGGGGGACAGTGGAGCCTTTCCTCCTGTCTGCATTCCTAATGCGCTGTGCAGTTTTCTGTCATGTGTAAGGAGAGGTATGGAAGAAAGACAAGAAATTCCTGCAGAGGAAACTATGGGGGCATCTCTCTCTCTCTCTTAATTAATTTTTTTATTTTTTACTCTCTCTCTCTCTCTCTCTCTTAATTAATTGTTTATTTTTTAAACAAGAAGGGTGACAGAAAGGAAAAGGGAAGTTGAGGTTAAAGGGGAGAAAGAGAAACAATCACATACTAACATCCATTCTATACCTATTGCCATATCAAAATTCCACATTACTCTATTTACTCTTTTCTGCCTTCTAGGTTTAAGTTCACATTTCAATATATGCTATTCATACGTTGCCTGTTGATTTAGTCCACTTATAAAATAAGTCCCATTTTTCTGTTGCCTTTTGTAAAGGACAGTCCTTCATTACTTCTGATAAAATGTCCATTTCCACTATTTCCCGTATCTTCTCAATAAGATCTTCTTGTTTCGGTATCTCTCTCTCTCTCTCTCTCAACACTGGGGACCAAGGGTCAGGTTCTCTCATTGAAATAGGCATCAATGCACCATATATGCCAAATGTGTTATGCTCTCTTTTTCATCTACATATGTGGCAAGAACACCAGCGTAGCCTGTTACCAAAAGAGGGTAAGAGAACAGGAATGTTGGCAGCATTGCAGGTACAACACACCAAGAACTGGCAGAAGACCAGCAGGGGCAGATAAATTGGAATGACTTCTCAGATATGGCATGGCTTCAGTTTCCAGATTAGAAGAGATAGTAAAGTTTATTAAAGTGTTATTAACGTTTCCCTTTTCCTTTTTCTTTCAGAATTTCTTTACCATTCAGCCTGAAGAGTATTTTAATAGAAGATGCTTACCCTTACTTGCAAGTCACCACCAGACTAGGCCTGACACTCAAGTGGAATTGGGGTGACACTCTCCTAGTATGAAGCTCCAGTTAGTTGGATTTGTTTTAGTGCATATTAGTTATCGTATACTGTGACGGGTTACCCAGTCTTCTTTACACAGCATAGTTTGCTACCTCTGCTATTAACTAATTGGGGCTATACAGTAGCAATAATAATTTATCTGTATTAATAACCTTTCTCGTGACCCCTGGGTTCAGAGGGAAAGAGTGTGACTCTCCCTTTCTGACCTTGTGTTGAAATATCATCTATGAGGCAGAGTTTATTTTAAATGACTTGTGTACCCAAACTAATTGGATTAAATACTCTAAGCACAATGCAGGGTATTTATTTTCTTGGAAATACCCCAAGGGAAAAAATAATTCCATATTTACAATCAGAATTAAAAAGAGAAAATAACTAATACTTGGTGCTACCTTTATACATGGTTCTTTATCCATCTCTAAACACCAGAGACTATTAGACCCCATAGTGGTAGACATGCATTATAGCTCTGATTGTGTCTTGTTTATCTGCTTGTCTCTTTTTAGCTGGGTTTAGAAGATACGTACAAGGGGAAAATATGTGGCTTGTGTGGGAACTATGATGGCAGCAGTAAAAATGATCTTTTTTTGCATGGTAATTTGCTTTCCATCTAACTATTTGCTTTCCATCTAACTATTTATTATTAACTTCGAAGAAATAGCCATGTTATGTCTGGCCCTGGTCACATGAGGGAAATGTTCTCTAGTTCTTCCAGTACTTTCCATACCTCAGTTGTACTGATTCTCCGTCATGTGGTATATATACTGAGGCAAAACTCCCAATAACATTTAGCGGTAACGATTTATTTCCTGCTATTTGAATCATTATCACTGGCTACACCATGGTACCAGTTTATTTTCTCTCTTGCTTCAAGGGGCAATTCAGCCCTATCTATCTATCTATCTATCTATCTATCTATCTATCTATCTATCTATCTATCTATCTATCTATCTATCTATCTATCTATCTATCTATCTATCTATCTATCTATCTATCTATCTATCTAT